ACGAGGTGAAAAACAAGATGGCGGTCATGTTGAAACTGACAGCAGACGACTTAAACGAAGATCACTCCAAATGAGTTCATGAATTTTGATACTTATTCCAGGAAACTCGGACGTGAACTCAATAACGCGTGACAGAGAGGCTCATTACTGATGATTAATGATGTTTTAATTTCCTACTTCCCAAAAAAATGCTGTTCCACGACTGGCCAGCAGGGCTTAATTTCTAATCTGTTGATAGAGTACATTTATATTCACTCTTAAAACCATGTTATTGTTGTTTTTTTGTTTTTGCTTGTTTTGCGTTAGTGTAGCCACTTCCTGGTAAGCTAGCTGACAATATATATATTACATTATGTATTTGTGATCTGCTTACTGCTAAGGTACATTTCCTTAGCACTTGTTAATTGACCCATGGGGATAAAAAAAGATTGTTGTTGTAACAATAAGACTGCCCTCTTCAGGTCGTGGCCCCTACTTTCCAGTCGTAGTAGTACTTCTGTAAAGGACCCTAATATTTCCACAAAGATAGCTACTGATCGTATCAGCGGCAAGTAATCGTTTGGATTTGACTGTTTTGTAGCAACGTTATCATCTGTAAGTGCATACTTGGCCTTTGGCCACTCATACATTAAAAACTCCAGCACAAAAATGGCTCTGTCTGAGACTTCTAAGCTGTTTTCCACCTTTTGTAACTGCAATGTGTTTTGTTTTTTTTATCACATATGCATGGTTGTCTGTAACCAATCACCAACCTACGAGGGACATAAAAAGCAGCATAGAAACTACACCGCGATGACTTCCTGCTCGGAGAAACTCTAGTTAGTGGGCAACAAGCCGGCCGGGGGTTTCATTTGTTCTTTGCAGGTTGATTTTAATCTTGTATTTTTCCAACATTAACACTGGGTCCTGTACGTTGTGACACACACACACACACACACAGACGTCGTGCGGTTCATTTGGGTCAGCAGAAACGTACAGCACACGTTGTACAAAATGAACTTCTTTAAAATCTCAGCTCCATCGTGATGTTTTTTTTTTTTTAGGGATCAGTGAGTGGAGACAGGATGTGTCTCAGGAACAGACACACACCTCTTTGCAAACAGCTACCCCCTATGGAAGAAAAGAAGAGTGTGCGTCCTGCTTCTGCATCCTTCATTCATCATTCACAGTGCCTGGAACAATCCGGCGTTCAACCCCTTTCTGCCTCCCCCTCCCACAAACGTCCCTCAGCGTCCTCCGTGCTCCCGTCTCTGCTGTCGGAGTTCCACGTCGACGTTCCCTCTGCTCCATCCAGCGTGAGAACAATCATCCTGTCACTCTCTGCAGGAGCAGCTCCGTCCCAACCTCAGAGCCCCAATTTGGAAACGGCAACAAAACACTAATCACACGCAGGACAGAAAACTGATGCTGCACTGGCCTCTACAGGTTCAACACAGGTTACTGCACTGAGGATGTATGGAGGCCACTGCAGAGCTGTGTGACACACACACACACACACACGGGTTTGCACAGCTATCCCTGTCAGGACACTGTGTGGACTCCCGTTCATTATAAAAGCTGAACCGAATCCGTTTTCCCTAACGATCCCACCTCATACCCAGATCATTTCATTAGAAATTGATGCCGACGGTTGTTACGTGCACGTATGCTTTGTGTTCCAGGCTAAAATGAATACCACGTGCTGCCAGGGAAAACCTAAAAGTAGTAAATGAGCCCGTAAAGGCTGGCCTCGTTTGCTCATAGACTGCCTTTCAGCCACGATTACTTTCAAAACTAGAGGAGCAGCCACGGCCACTTCCTATACACAGACTGTGGCCCCAACAGTAGCAGAATGGACATTTCTACCTGAAAAGAATTTGTGTGAGTGCTTTGACAAACAGGTTCTAATCACCACGAGGACGACAGGAACAGAGAAGCGCTGAGTACTTTACTGAAAATGAAAAAAAAAAAAAAAAAATCAAGTAATGATTTAACAGTAGCCTGAATGGTGGTTTGGTGAGAGGGAGCATTAGCCTGTTGGTTGGATGGATGGATAGATGGATGGATGGTTGGATGGATGGATTATCGGTGGGTTGGTTGGTCTATCCATTAGTTTGTTGATTGGTTGGTTGGTTGGTTGGTTGGTTAGCCTGTTTGTTGATAGGTTGATATCTTGGTCTATCCATTAGTTTCTTTGTTAGTTTGTTGATTGGGTGGTTGGTTGGTTGGTTGGTTGGTTGGTCTAGCCAATAGTTTGTTGGTTTGTTTATTGGGTGCTTAGTCATTCTGCTGGTTGGTTAGTTGATTGGTTGTCGGTTGGTTGGTTGGATGTATAGATGGTCGGTGGGTTGGTTGGTCTATCCATTGTTTGTTGGTGAGTTTGTTGATTGGGTGTTTGTTCTGTCCATTGGTTTGTTTGTTAGTTTGCTTGAATAGTCATTTAGTTGGTTGGTTGGTTGGTTGGTTGGTTGGTCTGCCATCAGTTTGATGATTGGGTTATTTGATTGGTTGAGGTGTTCAATGGCAGTTGGCATTCACATCGAGGCACCATATTTTTCCACTTCTATCTTGGGTTGATTTGGCCATTAAAACGATGCTGCCTAAACTAAAAATAGCATTATTTATTAGCAGTGAATTATTGATTCTCTTTTTAATTGTGTTTTGTTCATCTGTTTTTCCGTTAGCGCCGTAGGTAACCCATCTACTATTTGTCATGTCCGGGGGCGTTCCATGATATTTGGGGCACGGTTTATTAGAATTACTTAACAGAATTAGAATTAGAATTAGAATTACTTGACTCCACACATGGAACCCAATATTTCACAGTGGTCATTTGTTGCCATGCAAACTGTTGGCTCTTCACGGTCAAGACGGGACAGTGGAAGGAACAGGAAGAGAATGGAAGACCAGGTATTTAGACATGAGAAACTTTGCTAACCACGTACAGACGGTGTCACCGCTTTTAAACCACCCTCTCATTGGAAACTGGAGACGTGTTGTCATAAAATGTCTACTGTCTGATGTAGATAAGTCTTGCATCAGTTCAGGGGGTCGTCTGCTCTTCTTATCCAGTGGTGGCGCTACAGGTCATGTTATTGGGAGTTTCACCCATAACCCTTAAACAGCGAATGCGTTCTTTAAATATATGTTAATAAGACATGATATAAAATTATGTTGTAATATAACAATAAAAATATCCAGGGTTTTTTATTTGTTCGGCGATGCCAAATATGTTTTGCGCACAGGAATAAAACCGTCAACGCCTTCAAAGAGTATTTTTTCTTGCAAAAAACCCCAAAAGTGCTTGAAGTAATACTTGGATCGCATCATCAACAAGCAAAATCTGAGCTAACAAAAACAATAAAGTTTTCACATTCACACCTTTGGTCAGTTTCAGGTGAACAATTACCCATATCTGCTTTTACTGGACTGTTGGGAAAAGGTGAGGTACCTCAGGAACCCCCCCCCCCCCCCGACCCTTTACCCCCACATACACAGTCATCAGTTTACACAATATGAAAATAATATTTCCAACTTTTGAAATGTGTGGTATCTTGGCAGAGAGTTTGAATTTGAATAGTGCGAGTTAAGGATGAGACACCAGGGAACAGGATCGATTAATGCATCTCCATTTTCATGAGGAAAAAAAAAGTATATTTTATCAACAGGGCTGTTTTTTGGTATAGGCAGACTGGAGGTATTTTATATCTTTGTCTCTGTTATTTAGACTAAACAGTGACTTCTATGTTTTGTGGTTCCAAATCCTAGCTTTGATTTGATAGACAATAGAAAGGAAAATTAAGAATACAGAAAATATCCTTGGACGGGCTTTTTGAAATTAAACCAAAATCTTCCAGCTCAAAAAAAAAAAATTGTCTTCTACTGCCAAGTTTGGTTAGTTTATGATACTGCAAAAAACGCCAGAGTCACCAGGAAACCTGGTGGAAGTTAGCGATAACCATATGAGGACCAACCTCATCAGGATTCGACTCCTGAGTCTCAGAGTAAGTGGAATGTCTTGTGACACAGACTGGGGCCGGGGGGCGGGGCATGATGAGGTGCAGCAGGGGTTGCGTTTTTTTTCCTTTTTTTTTTTTTTTTTTTTTTTCCTTTTTCTTTTGGGAGGAACCACCTAGTGGTCGATAGTCTGCATCACTCTTCAGAGACTGGAACTTCTCCAAACACAAGTGAAGCAGCTGAAATTCTCCCAAATAATCGTACACGTAAAGAAATATTTTGACTGGAATTAATATATAATTTGCTTCAAAAAAGATGATTGAAAATAACATCTTTGAAAAGATGATGAACTAAAGAACTTTATTTGCTTATCCATTGACTATCTATACACGTTGTATATTGGATTTCTATTATTGTAATGATGTAGGTGACCTTGAGTGTCCTAGAGGGCGCCATCAACTGTTTGTTATTATTATCTATCATCTGTTGTACGCTCTGTTATAAGGACATAGAGTTTTGACTTGTGTTCATCCTAAGTACTACGATAAAACAAAGTAATCTCCTCCATATCAGGCCTGTTGCTAGAACAAATACTTATTCCTTAGCATTTTCCTTAGTGGCAGTGTGCGAAAAAACGTACATGTGAACGTAGGTGCGAGGGTGAAAACATGTCTCACGTCCATGGAAACGTGGAAACGGACACTACGTGTGAGAAGACAGGTTAAAATATGTGATCCTTTATGAATATATAATATAAATACATATATATTCGTCTATAATATGGGAACGATTGGTTGAAAATTGCATTATTATGAGTTACACTATGGATTGGTGAGAGTCTCAAGTATCGAATTAATAACGGTTTAGAACATTTTTGCTGCGGTAAATTGCAAAAGGTAATATTTAAATATATATAAAAAATATATATATATTTAAACCATCCTAATGGACTTGTCTGAAGTGTTTAAATAAGGTGTTAAAAATAAGAGAGATACTTTGATCACTGAGAAAAAAAAAAGATAATTAAAATCAATAGACTGCTTAAAAAAAGGTAAATTGAAAATACCACGGTACGGTTTATTTGAACTGAAAATATACATATTTCCAAATGAGTTGGCCAAGAAACTGTGTGTTTGTTTATTTGTTTTCCCTTTGACTGACATGCTCACTGGCTTTTTTTTTCTTCCCGGTGTGGCCCTGCATGCAGCTAAAATGTGGACTCTCCTGTTTCACAGCCTGTCTGGAATTTGAATAGAAGAGAGGAACCGCCGGAAGCTGATTGGTCCAGGGGCAAATATTTCCGGCACCCTTGTCCTGTCACTCAGCCATTCCCCGGCCGCTCATTGGCTCCTGTGGCGATAGGCGGAGCTCCCCTTCTGGACTATATACGTATTGTGGTTTGCGAGAAGCTGCAAATGATCGCAGGCTGTGTGAAGGAGGCGGACCCGCAGTTCAATGTTGCTCCACAGAGCTCACTGGAACCTTCCTCTCCCTACAGCCACATCCAAGCGCAAACAGCGGCCAGGCGCACGTCTCTTACCGGACAGGAGCTGGTGGTGGACCGGGGGAACTGGTCCATCATCAACACCAGCAACACCATGGAATGCGCAGTGGACGCGCAGAGCTTGATCTCCATGTCGCTCATGAAGATCCACAACTCCAGGACGCAGAGAGGAGGCATCAAGCTGCACAAGAACCTGCTGGTGTCTTATGTGCTGCGGAACGCGCGGCAGGTCTACATCAAGGAGAAATACGCCGAGATCTACAGGATGCAGCAGTACGAGGAGGTGATGACCGTCTGCAACGAGATCCAGGAGCTCGACCCTCTGGAGCTGGACGCGGAGGAGGTGTGCGGAGAGGAGCAGGAGCAGGCGCGGGCTGCCGCTGCCGCCGCCGCCGCTGCTGCTGCTCCGTGCTGCGGAGAGGAGGCGAGTCCGTGTGGGGTTGACAGAGGCGCAGCGTCGGCGGCGCACGTCCGGGCTGCGAGCTCCCTGCTCGGCTGTTCTCCGTTCGAGGACGTCGACGGCGAACCGGAGCCGTTCGACTACCCCAGCTGCTGCATGGAGGCGGCTCCCGGGTCACACTGCAACAAAACCACCGTGCTGGACTTGGACACGCATGTGGTGACCACGGTGGAGAACGGATACCTGCACCAGGACTGTTGCTGCGGTGCGCTCCAGTGCGGTCAGAGCGCGCAGCAGCTTCCACCTCCGCCGCCGCTGCCGCCGCTGCTGCTGCCGACGTCCACGGCCAGGAAGCGAAAGGTTGAGTTCGGCTGCTGCGTAAACGACGCGGAGGAAGAGGAGGAAGAAGCGTCCGAGTACACGGCGGCTCGGAAAAGAGTCAAACGAAGCGAAGACTGTTGCTCCTACTCGGGCGCGGACTACACGGACACTTCCAACATCTCCAACCTGATCTCCATCTTCGGCTCGGGGTTTTCGGGGCTGCTAAACAGACAGACGGACCTTGAACAGATCTGTAGCAAACAGGCGCTGGCCGGTCTGGGCGCATGGACCCGGGCCATCGTGGCGTTTTAATCGGACACTTTATGCGACGGAGACCGGGGCCGGTTGTTCCCGACAAGGTCCCAGAAATGGAACAAAAACAGAGAGCAACTCCAGCTGCTGTTGGGAAGAGACAGGCCAGGGGTAGAGACACGGGACGGTGGTTCGAATGCTAGTTTGATTGTTTATATCACAGACATAATATTTGATTTTGACCTTAAACCTTAATGGGCGGTGCCTTTGGAAAAAAAAACAAAAAACCCCGTCCAGGTACAGACTAAACAAACGAACTCACCATCCAAAAAGTATTACTTTCGTTACTAAAAAAAAGTGTTCAAAAGTTCAAATGTGAAAAGAAAAAAACTTTTTATCTGACAAATCATGGGTAAAAAAAAAAAGTTACAGGCTCCCCCGTGTGGCACTTCGAAATAAATCACTAGCACTGTATGGTGGCAAACCAGACAGCATGGCAATCGCTAAAAATGGTTATTTTATAGTTATTTTAAAAAAAACAAATAGTGATCAATCTGTGGTCGTCCTATTCCCGGTCTGGACTCCGTGTTCCCACAGACAGAGGAGAACGGTTTTCCATTGGTCTACAGTTGGTGGCTGAACTTTCAGTAAGTTTTTACTGAAAGTTCTCTGGGAAAACTGATGTAACATCCAGAGGATTGTTCTTCAGACTTTCCAGAAATGTTCTTTCTAGGTCAATCCAGAACTTTCCGAGGAGGTCATCGCACATGTAAACCATTGGTAATGTTGTTAGCAATGATCAGCAAGTTTGCTGGGATTTTGAAAAAAGTCACACGTTTCCATGTACAAAGGTCTGAATCAGGTCCATTCATTACGAAAATCAGAAACAACTGTCGAAAGAACTGTGTTACTGTCGCTCTGTCCAATACTGCGAAACCGCGTCCACGGGGTTTCCACGTCCATCGCCACGCCGACTACAAAAGCATGGTTCACAAACTGTACACAAGGTGACATCACACCTCAAAGCACTTTGATGACATCACTTGTGACTGTTGTTTATCGGTGACATCGCCTGATAGTAGGTGGGAAAAACACAGGTGGGCGTCGCAGGTCCTGGTCTCCGTCCGTTAGGCAGAAAATAAAAAAAAGAAAGAAGAAATCAACTTTATTTTTGCAAGAAAAAGAAAAGTTATTTAAAATGTTGTGATATAACGATGTTGGAGGAGGTGGAGCTTGTGCCATAAATAAATGTGTAACACAGCGACTCAACCCTGATGACGTGTGGAACGACTGTCGTTGCCTTAAATCGATGCACCCCCCCCAGCCCCCGCTGCTCGCTACTGACACACAGTGGACGTACGGTGAAAGTGACTGAATGTTTCCGTTCTGTTTCGGGACTTTTGCACATTTTCCAATCAGTTTGTCCTTCTCTGGTACCAGCTCACATCACGGCCTCTCTGAGGTCATGACCACTTCCTTCGCCCCCCCCCACCCCCCCTCTCTTTTGCAGCACGTCATCAGGTCGTCCTGTGTGACATCATCACCATGAATGTCGATCCTTTTGTTTTAAAAAGGTGAACTTGTGACGAACTCAGCCATCGGCGTCAATGAACCAAACTTCATTAGAGTATTCCCACCTTCTCCTCCTTCACATATTCTCCTTTTCCATTTTTCTTTCTGTGTGTGTGTTTGATAAGTTGTAGCTCTCCGGGTCAAAACTGTTTAAGAAAATATTTGTAAAAAATTTATAATCTTAATAAAAAAATATCAAAACAACAATGGTTTGTTTGACTCCGTGGTTTTAAGGAAGCAGAATTTCACACCCGCTGATTTGTGGAATACTTTGAGGTAAACTGTGTTCTGTAATCAAGCTAACTCTGTATATAAGCTAGCCTTTAGCATGGTGGGATTTTTCCAAGCTAACTCTAGCTAGCCTTTAGCATGGTGGGATTTTTTTTTCGTTAACGAGCTAGTCAACATTTAGCTATGTTTGGCTAATGTTAAGACATGTCGGGGCAAATGTGTGGAACATACTCTGAGATTGTTAGTATGTTTCGACATTAAATTATAAATAGTAATACAAGTTTGCTTAAGTTTCCATTATTTAGATTAGCGTAGCTTAGCACAACAGCAGCTACAGTTTTCACTGTAATCATTATTTGTAAAGATTTTGTGAAACTCTAAATGGTCATTGGACCATTTGTTTACCACTTCATAAACTATTGGCAATAACATATGGTAAACAAGCTAAGAAAAGAAAATTAAGTAAATTTCGCCAAACAATTTGTCCATATTGCACTCACTTTGTATCAATAAAACCACCAAAAACATTAGGAACCTTATGAAGACATTGGCTGAAAAACATAGCTAGCTATGAGATAACCGTCAATTCTCTATGAGTTATATTGTTAGCGAAGGGTTTGGCTAAAACAGGCAAGCAAGGCTAGCGCTGCAGCTAATGTGGCTCGGTCCAACAGTGACAACCAATGACAACCAATGACAACCAATGACAACCAATGACAACCAATGACAACCAATGACAACCAATGACAACCAATGACAACCAATGACAACCAATGACAACCAATGACAACCAATGACAACCAATGACAACCAATGACCATATTAGACATTCGCGAAAAAATGTTGTTGTTTCCAGACAAAAATGTGCATCAAAGGACAGAAAATATTACCACTTAAAGAGATTCGTTGGGTTGTGTGTTTCTAGCTTACGCAAATAAAAGCGATTTTATTTGATTAAAGACTTGGAATGTGCTTCATTGGCCAAGTAAGGGTAAACAGAAAAGGAGCTCCACTCCAGCTTCCCAGAGGAAAATAATGGCAAGAAAATAAAATAAGGTTATCATCTCATGTTCAAAACAACAACAACCAAACGTCCAACCATCATTACAATGCTCATTTAAACATTTAAGCCAATAAATAACGTGTTATTAAAGGCACAATTGAACAACTGAGGAACTGTTTGAAGTTTGTGTTGCATAAGCCTGGTCAAGGCAGCTTGGTTAAAATATTTGACATTATCATAAATGTTGCATATGTCAATAAAAATCCAATTATGACACAATGTGGACACTGTGAGTCAGAACCGCAAATTAGCAAAGATTAGGTTTTGACTGAACTTCACGCCGGGAGGGGCCTTTAATGATCTCATAAAATGTACAGCTTAGTTCGCAAAACCTGCTAAAACGTCCAGTTAGATGTGTGTAGCACACACACACGGGCCAATGTTGTTGTTAGCTTTTTGACAAGGCAAACAATGAAAAGTGTAGTACGAGTACGGATTAGGTCAGTATCGGTAAAAGCAAGTTTACGAAATTGTTGAAAGTGGGCCTAGCGAGAAATAGCTACAAACGAGTCAGAGAGGTTAGCTTAATGTTAACGTGACGTAACGGAAGAGAATTTTTAAAAGTCATATTTTACAACCTTTTTAAAAAAAACCCATATAACTAGAAAAATAAATGCTAAAAGACTGCTGTCAAGAAATAAGTTGAACATAACCAGAGCTACAGCAACGTAGCCTAAAGTTAGCCAGAAATGCTAACGATTTGTCAAAAAACGTGGTATAATTAATAGACAAACAAAGATGTATTAGTGCAGCTTAACTGAAAAAACCCCCCAAAAAAACAACAACAAACATGAAAACACTATGTTAGTGTGGTAAAAATAGTAAAAAAAAAAAAAAAAAAAAAACGGTTGCTTGTCGCTTACAAAATTATTAGGTTAGCACAGAAACAACCGAAATGACTGCAATGACCTAATGGTGCTGTGCTTTTGCGTCACATTAAGAAGGTCATGGGTTCAATTCTAATTTAAGCCAAATCACTGAAAGTACAGAAGGACTGCCGAGTAGACAAAGGCTGACAAACAATTAGCTGTAAAGCAGTTGTGAGTTCAATACAATTATAATAATCGGGATTAGTAGCTAACAAATGCTTCTAAAATGATCCCAAATATATGTTGAACGGGCCAAAAATCTGCTGCCCTGGTGTGTTAGAGCGACACTAAACGCCCCGTTATTGTGTTATGCACTGGTTATTCTCTTGTACTGCAGTGTGAGGTTTGTCAGGCAGTCATTTGCATAAACACGGCTATTTTTAAAATATGCATGAGGAATGGCTGAGCCTTCATGTTTGTAGTCTCTTCCCATGATGCACCACCTGACGTGTCATGCTCCTCTCAGCTAAATTCTTTGGGTCCTGTTATCTCTGCTCTGTGCCACTTGGTGGTGTTCTTTAAAATCAATGAATGAAGATATAAGCCGAGCTGTGAAGGCAGCACACAGCCACATCAGGCTGACCCTGCCTCACTCTCTCTCTCTCTCTCTCACCCCTCCTCCTCCTGCTCCTCCTGCTGCTGCTGCCTCACCCCCTCCTCCTCTGAAGCATCACATCCCTCTCCTTCATCTCCTCTGCTGCAGCAGCTGCCTCTGCTGCTCTTTGCTCCTGCAGCTCTGCAGAGACGGCGTGTAGCAGCAGCAGCAGCAGCAGCAGCGGCAGCAGCAGCGCCCACAATAACCAGCTGTAGGTTTGGTTGTAATGGTAACGGTGAGGCAACGTGAACAATGATGTTGTGTAACTGTAGAGAAATATGGTGAAGGAGGAGGAGGAGGAGGAGGAGTAGGAGGAGGACTCGACATACGATTATTCACAGACGGCAACATGAGAAGAAAACAACATCTCTCTCTCTCTCTCTCTCTGTCTCTCTGTCTCTCTGTGATACAGTTAGAAATGCTGCTGCTGGAGAATGGTTCTGATGAAGGCACAGCTCCTCCACCTGGACTGAGACAGACTGACACCATAATCAAAACCATCCGTGTGAACACTGACTGCTGCTTATTATGTTCACATGTAACTATAGTATTACAGGGGGAAAATACATTTAGTTTTGTATACTAAGAATATAACATCATTTAAATAACGTTTAAAGACAACGGCTGCAGCAATTACCATGAACATAGGCCACAGACCCATATGAATGTATTCCGTTCCTCTCTGTTGTTTTAATGGTCAAACTAGTGCAACTTGTCTCTATGGAAATATTAACCAATGCAAAGGAGACACTGCACAGCATTAACATACAAAAGGTGTATGTAAATAGTGAAACCAGGAATGATCTTATCATTTAAATATTTCCGCCCTACAGTGTGATGCTGTCCGTGAACACCAGAGCTAACGTGCCCTACAGTGTGATCTCAATGTAAAAAATGCTGTCCGTGAACACCAGAGCTAACGTTAGCTACAACAGACCTGGTACAGACACCAGAGCTAACATTAGCTGCAACAGTCCTGGTACAGACACCAGAGCTATTGTTAGCTACAACAGTCCTGGGACAGACACCAGAGCTAACGTTAACTACAACAGTCCTAGTACAGACACCAGAGCTAACGTTAGCTACAACAGACCTGGTACAGACACCAGAGCTAAAATTAGCTACCACAGTCCTGGGACAGACACCAGAGCTAACGTTAACTACAACAGTCCTAGTACAGACACCAGAGCTAACGTTAGT